ATACTCATCAGAGCAGGGGTTAATGTCCAAAGCCAGGGATCTGAAGTCAAGACTTTCGAGTTAGCAGTCATAATTGCATTGAAAAAACAACATAATTTTGCTTAAGAAATTGATTTTCCACATATTAATAATAATATTTTTGGTTTTAACTGTGATTAGAAGAATTCTTTAAAATAATTTAAACTACTATATTTTTGTATTTCAAACAAATTTGTATTGATTACTGGTATTTGTAATTTAATAAGAATAAGTGTCACAGCAGCCCAATTTACATGGCTAATAAAACTACCAAACAAGTCAAGTTTTAGGATCAACAGTATTAGAACTCTTCAAGATGCAAACATACAATTGTGTAGGTGAGCAGAGGTGGATCTGGGTTGGATGACTTGTAGCCTTCCAATGTGATCTGTTCACCTCTGAACCGGAAGTAGTTGGGCATCTGAGGTAACGGGATTTGAGTCGAGGGTGCGTTGGCGCAGATCATATCAGGTGGTAGCTGGAATACAAGGAAAACATTTAATTTTTAGGATGTTTGGTAGATGTCAATCTCCTAGTTAAGTTCAAGGTTTGGGGTTTGGTTTGTTTCATTTATTTTTAAAACAGATGCATACTTTAGGGGATATCCATAAATGACGTCAGGCTTTTTTTGACGATTTTTACCTCTCCCCTCCCCTCCCCCACACGTCATCACAAAAAGTCAGACCCCCCCCCCTAAAATGATGTCACACCTCAGCCTACAACCCCCCTCAAAATTGCAGTTGAATTTTTTTTAAAAACATCGATATTTTTCCAAACTCTTGTCTGAAATCTGTCAAAATAGAGTATTTTAATCAATTCCTATTACAATTTATTAAAAGTTTTCTAAAACTCGAAATAACGTCTAAAATTTGTTTTCTAACATTTATTTTTTTATAATGAAAAAAAGTGTGACGTCGCACCATCTTAACCCCCCCCCCTCATCACACATCGTCACAAAATTACCGACCGACCTCCCCCCTCAGAGTGTGATGTCATTTATGTACGACCCTTTAGAGTGATCCTGTTATATTAATATTTCCTTGTGGTTTTCAATTACACATGATCTACCCTATATGGAGTCTGTACTTTACTTAGGTTTTGTTAAACATAAAACATTTTTGTTTCTTTTTCTGAGATATGTGTTTACAAGTAGAATGCAGATAGACAATTGACCATTTTGCCAGAAATCTTTTTGTTGGGAGGCCATTCATACTGAGTAATATGGGGAACCTTTCATTAGGCGCCATATTGTCATGGGATTTTTTTGTTATGGATATTTTGAAAGGTCCAATATGCTGAGGTTGGTTTGATGATCATTTTGTTTTGGATATTTTGAAAGGTCCAATATGCTGAGGTTGGTTTGATGGTCATTTTGTTTTGGATATTTTGAAAGGTCCAATAAGCTGAGGTTGGTTTGATGGTCATTTTGTTTTAGATATTTTGAAAGGTCCAATATGCTGAGGTTGGTTTGATGGTCATTTTGTTTTGGATATTTTGAAAGGTCCAATAAGCTGAGGTTGGTTTGATGGTCATTTTGTTTTAGATATTTTGAAAGGTCCAATATGCTGAGGTTGGTTTGATGGTCATTTGATGTAATAACAGCAGGGCAAGCTCAATACAAAATTTAAAATGAATTAAAATAAAACCAGCAAGAAAAAAAAATATTTACCCTGAAGTGGCGATCATTTGGCTGGATTTTTTCAAAATGGGTGAAATCGATCCTGTAGAATAGATTTTTTTCAAAAATAACTTCTTGGGAGATATTCATTGAAGCTATCATTTTGCTAGAATATAATCTTAGTGTGATATTTTATATAAAGGTATAACAAATTACTCTTAACTAAAAAAGGTTTCTGAATACCTGTTCCATGCTAAAAACTGCCTTGACCTACATATGCAGCACCCCCACCACCTGTCTGTTAGCTAAGAATAGCTTTGACCAACATATTAAGCAGACCCTACCCCTCCAGGTGTAAGCTAAAATCAGAGTTTCTTCCAGGCATCTCTTCGGGGGGGGGGGGGGAGGAGAAAGAGAGCCCCTTAAAGAAAGTCTACCCCCCCCCCCCCAAACGAAATGTAATTTATATACAAAATATATACTTTTAACATTGTCCGCCCCCCCCCCCCCCCCCCCCAATGAAAATTTCAAGTGTCCCCCGGAGAAAAAAGTCTGGAAGAAACACTGGCTAAAATTATCATCATTGACCTACATTGTGGTAAGGACTATCTGGTTGGTTGGGTCAGACTTGTCCTGTGTGGTGATAGTGGACCTGACAGGTAAGATAGGGGCGTTGTTTGAGTTGTTCTTGGACACCGCAGGTAGAAGGAACTTTGAAGGATCTGTGGTGTGGGTAGAAAAAGAAATCTTGTCAAAAAAGGTAGTTTTATCACAGGTAATTTTATCACAGAATTTTATCACAGGTAGTTTTATCATAGGTTAAAAATGGTTATTTTATTACAGGTCATTTTCTACTAAGGTTATTTATCATTTGATCGTGTGCCATTTTATCAGTCATTTTATTAGTCATTTTTGAAAATGGTTACTTTATAACAGGTAATTTTATGATGGGTTATTTTATCATGGGTCATTTTAAAACAGGTCATTTTCCAAAATGTCATTTTATTACAAAGAAACAAGCCAACTTAAATTTCTAATGACAAATGTTGTTATCGATAAATATATTATACTATAATTATACTCACTATCGGCTTTGTATCATAAACAAAGGTTAAAGATAATTTTTAAGTTAGGTATTGAGATACCCTTCAAAATTCATCCTCACTGTCACTGGATTTATTCTGATTTACAGTAATATTTTATTACATTAATTTAACTAATTGATTATAGTTAGAGAACATATGTGCATGAGTGTCCAGATAAAAATGACCTACCAACTATCTGCCACTCTGTGAATAGAGTAGTGTCATTGTATGCCAACCATTCACAAGTCCACCATTTATCTGTTGTGATACCTACAACAACAAATAACATGTATAGTAATACTATTGCAGGCCTATAGTAGTTGTGTTCTATTGTTTAGAAAATATAAATGATGAAATAATTAATATGACCATAGATTAGAATTTTAGAACATTTTATTCTATTTTATAAAACTTTACATTTTTAGTTTTTTTTTTGCTTTAGTAAAATTTAGTGTGATGCTAGTGATAACATAATAATTCACAAGAATGCTGATAATTAAAAGATTAACGAATATTATTATAAATTATAATAAAATATAATATTATTATTATTATTTTTTTTAGGACAGGGCTGGAAAAGATCAGTTGTCAGTGCATAAGCCGCCGTAAAGTCAACTCAAGGAACCAACTTGATTCAAGGAATGGCCCTAAACCGAGTAGGCATATTATTATTATGGAGAGGTTTTGGTTTGTCCCTAGGCTCCACATAAATGATAATGATTGATATGATATTTATGATGGGGGGTAATATTAACTTACTTAACTAGATCTATATCTAAGTATTCAAGTAACAATAATGTTGGCTTACCTCTTACAGAACTCTTGCCTTTGTAAGTTATATTTTTCAGCAAAGATTTTTCCCACCCGAACACGGCTGTGTAGAAAACAAACAACAAACACTTATTTCATTACCACAAAAATTTGAAATTGTGTCTTAAATTTGACTTTAAAAATGTCAATGTTTTGCCTACAAGAAAAGAAATACTCCCTGGTGTGTTAAAAAAAAACCAAAAACAAACGACATCCACTTCAAGGCGTGGGTGGGGAGGGTGGTGGACTTTTGTGATGATGTGCTACGAGAGGCTGGGTAAGTTCAGAAAGTAGGGTAATACAAAAAACCACTGCCCATTTGCTCTTTAATAAACGAAGAATGTTATTTTAGATCTAACAGCAATGCATATGTATCACATATTAAAGAAAAATTAAACTAAAGGAGTAACAAAGACAAAGCTATGTTGCCATTGAATTGTGCCCCTTTAGCACGAACGTCATTCCGACAAGACCTTTGTAGATCTAGTTTGTTTTATTCTACGCATGCACATTTCACATGTTTTGAGTTATTTGTTCTAGCCAGAGTTTATTTCAAGCATCTCTACATTGAGCAGTGTTTATTCCAGGCATCTCCCCGGACAGTCTACCGAAATGGAATTTATATAGAAAATGTATACTTTTAACAGTGTCCACCCCGCCCCCCCTCCCGGTAATTTCAAGCGCACCCCCCTCTCCCCCGGAGAAAGAAAGTCTGGAAGAAACACTGACATTGAGGGCCCCCCTCTCCGGAGCACATCTGTTGACCCCAACCCTGACAGAATAGAACAACACTTTAATTTTATAATCACCCCTCCCCCTCCAAAGTTTCAAATACCCTCCAGCCTAAAAGTCTGAAAGAAAAACTGATTCTAGTCTACATTCTACACTGAAAATGACACATAGCTGGACTATAGGATGCCATGAGCCAAGTTTTAACGATTAAAAAAAAAGACAAACATTTTACCTGCCGGTGTGTTTAAACTGAAGTGCCCATTGGCTGGCGTGGCGTGGAAGAGAGAGAAAAATATGCTGTCCTCCAGCAAAACGTCAGTACAGGCCACTGGTCAAGTGGAGATTTAAATACAACAAGTATAAAATATACTAATAATAATAAGATTTCCTGCACTAGAAGACATAAAAAGTAAAATAAACTCATAGATGAATGCTAATAGCCTGTGCTGTTATTGCGATAACAATTCTATATTGACTAACATTTGTGTAAGTTTATTATAATCTTTCTCTATACAGGCATATATATATATATATATATATATATATATATATATATATATATATATATATATATATATATATATATATATATATATATATATATATATATATATGTGTGTGTGTGTGTGCGCGTATGTGTTTGTGTAAGCACACTCACACACACACACACACACACATATATATATATATATATATATATATATATATATATATATATATATATATATACATATATATATATCGGCCTATATATTCCCTTAATAATTCAGTATTTTATAACTGCTCATAGACATGTTGATATTAATTTAAATAGTTTCAAATTATGTTTTGTGACATTTTGTCAAAACGATCAATGAAAATGTCAATTATTAAAAAACCCATCAATAAGCGCACACTGTATTGCGACCTATAAACCCATAAAAATAAATTTAGAAATTCTCGCTGACCTCCGTTAGGGAGAACTGGAGCGACAGAAACTTCGTCGTAGTTGGCGTCCACCCAGATCTGTGCGGGCGTACTGGGCGACATCAAATTGGCATAGGCCAATTGAGATTGCTGAAAATATTTTTTTCAAAGAGTTGTTTTCGAAGTAAAAAATCATTGTCTTTTTTTTTTTTTGCGATTTTGTTTTAACGGAGTTTAGCCGTGGGTTAGGATGATAATGTAACTGTTTATAAAATAAACAACCATTTTTTAGGACAAACAACTATTTTTAGAACAAACAATCGTGTTTTATTTCATAACTTTTCAGTACAATCCACGCAGGTTAGGCTGAACTTCCGCTTTAGCAAATATGGCGGGGGGGGGGGGGGGGGGGGGGGGGGAGGGTGTTAAACACATACTGACATCCCCGTTTACCACACAGTTACGAATGCTGTTGATGTTTATTAAACAATCTCAAATTGTAGATGTTCTCACTTGTGAGCCACATGACCCCCCCCCAGTGACCATACGCCTAGGGTACGGTAGACGTGTTCACCTGCGATTACCCCCCACCCCCACGCGACCATACGTTATCTCCTGGGGTACGGTAGACGTGCCCACCTGTATGTAATCCCTTCCCCCCCGGGACCATACGCTCCTCCCGTGGGGTAGATAAACGTGGGGTTCGGTAGACGCGCTCACCCCACCCCCGCGAACATACATCCCTCCCCTGGAGTAAAGTAGACGTATTTACCTGCGAGTACCCCCACCTCCCACGCGACCATACACCCCTTCCCCTGGGGTACGATACCCATGCTCACCTGTGAATAAGCCCCCCAAACCCCCCGCGACCACACACCCCTCCCCTGGGGTAGGGCAGACGTGCTCACCTGCGAGTACCCCCCAAACCCCCCGCGACCATACTACCTTCCCCTGGGGTACGGTACCCATGCTCACCTGCGAGTACCCCCCCCCCCCCCCCCCCGCGACCCTACTCCCTTCCCCTGGGGCAGGTAGCCATGCTCACCTGCGAGTAGTACTGTTCCGTGTAGTCCACACGGTTCTGGCCCATAGTTTTGCTCTCAGTGAACACGTAGAAGTTGTCGAAGAACTGCGGCATCTTGGCTGTGACGCACACACACATACATGTTTCATCCATAGACGTAATGGGGGGGGGGGGGGAGAAAATCAAAACAAATCGTTAGAGAACCCATACACACACTCACACATTTAGTTTACTTTTCTTATTATATTAAACTCTCTGAGTAGGGTCAATCAGTAAGCCCACACAGTGGATTACGAAGACAGCGATCATTGAAAAGAGTCAGATTCAGTGGATCTAGCTGGAATATCTGGACTTTGTGCGCATGACAGTGGCCTTCTCCAGAGTCTCTTCCAGGTATCTCTACCAGAGTTTCTTCCCCCCCCCCCCCCAAATCTTTTTACCGCCCCCCAGAACGAAATGAAATTTATATAATTTATTTAGAAAATATATACTTTTAACAGTGTCCGCCCCCCGAAGAAAGTCTACCGCCCCCCCCCCCCCCCCGAAAATTTCAAGTGCCCCCCCCCCCCCCCGGAGAAAAAAGTCTGGAAGAAGCACTGATCTCTACCGCCCCTCCCCCCGAAAATTTCACGTGCCCCCCCGGAGAAAAAAGTCTGGAAGAAACACTGGCCTTCTCTCACACAGCCATCAGCACATGCAAAAGAACAGAGATGTGGTGGCTGCCACATCGCCTAAAAGTCAAAAGATCGGCCTAGAAATCCACAATTAAAAAGACGAAGGTCTCGGAGACAAATTTTCTCTAGTAAGGAAACATTCATGCAATAAGGAATTCCCGTCTTTAGTAGGAGGTGAAGGCATTTACATTGCAACTTCGGTGGAATTATAAATTTTAAGGAACAAGAGGGAACAGACATAGACGAGATAGAAAGGACAGGCAAGGCAAAAAAAATGTTTTCATCCAGTTTAACAGGATTTGGATATCTTTCTATATTTAGTTCTAAATTATCTATTATGTTTCAATATGAGGCGGTGTGGTCAAAAGGTGGAGCGTTCGATTGCTAACCCGAAAGTTTCGAGTTCGGATCCCGGGCTCCAGTCCGTACGACGTCCCTGAGTCAACCCAGTAAGGCGGCTGGGCATAATGCAATCCCTTCATATTCTGAGTTAATTGAAACAGGTGAACTCTACTTCATCTGTCCAATGGGCCTTAAGGTTAGAAAGGGTGACTAATAAACTTGTTCTTAATGAAGCGATATTTTATGAGTAAGTCAGCTGTATAAGCTTATAGAGCTGATGTAAACTAAAATAAAAGGCTACCATCTTTGGCTAAGATAAAAGACTAAAGTGGACCGCAGACTGCGTTCCTTGTATAGTTGACCAGATCCAAAAGGAGATAATGTTGTGTTGTGGTTGATCAAGGGGCGTTACTGTTTCAGGATTTAATAGTTAATTACAATATTCAAAACCACTGCAATGCTTTTTTTTTAGATAAAAGGCTCAGTTTAACATAACAGTGTACAACACAATACAATCTCATTGAAATAGAATAAGAGATTATAACACATTATAAAACATGAATAAAAAATTGCTGAACAACGTGACGTAAACGATTAATTGCGATTAAGCTTTGGATTTTAACGACTAAGACTGGTGATAAGACAATGTTGCCTCTTTTTGAAACAGGCACCCCACCCTCCCTTAAATGTGTACGAAGATAAATAAACAGCTAAATAGCGTACACGATATGACTTAAAAAGTTGTAAAAAAATTAAATAGTTGGAAAAGAAAAACAAAATGTTGGAAACACTTTTATTCACGAACTGTCCAATGTGGTCCTTCGTTACTGTAAAAATGCCTTAAAAACCAATAATTATTAGCAATAGAAAGCAAATTTGGTTATATCTCTTATAATCCGCACAGAGTGTTTCATTGTTTATCTTATAAATTGATAGTTTTAACAAAAAACATGAGGTCGAAAACTTAAATAATTTTTCTCGAAGGAGAGAGAAAGACTTTAAAATATATAAGTAACTATAAACACACACAGACAAACAGACATCCACATAAATACAGATACACATACAAATACAGACACACACACACAACAATATAGAAACACAAACACACATATTCATGTATTCAAAAATGTTTAAAATAAAAATAAATACATGATATCTAGCTTAGCACTCAGAATAACGTGCACGTGGGTCACGTGAGTTTGTACTCACGATCATCAGGGCTGGGGGGTACATAGGGTCCCATGTTCTTGGCGCAGAAGTCAGCATCAAACAGGGCAGTAGTCACACACACCAGGACAGGCAGCAGGGCAAATGTGAGGGGAGACATCGCTACAGATCTGTAACAAATGGATTAAATATATATATATATATATATATATATATATATATATATATATATATATATATATATATATATATATATTAATATAGTATATACACATATATTTTATAAAAGTTATATTATATATTTATATATATATATATGTATATATATATATATATATATATTTATATATATATATATATATATATATATATATATATATATATATATACGTTATATGCATATATATATATATATATATATATATATATATATATATATATATATATGGGCATATCGATCGCTCTACCACCCGACCACACCGTCTATATGCTTGAATGTATGTGTGTATTTTGTGTTCTCTTTTTGAGTTTTTAAAATACTTTTGTTTGTACGGTGTATGCTACAGATATTAAACTTCATAAATATAATGCTAATGCTAGACAATTCATAATGTTACTAGCATGGTCTAATATGCAGATATTTTATCACCACACTTACTCTAACCCTCAACTATATGGCAGCAGTTGCCCGTTATAGTAAATAGAGTATTGTATAAATTTTATTTATTAATACAATTGTTGCAAAGTTATGAATTGATTGGTTTACCTTAATTTAATTTTTCTTTCAACAGTGAAAAGAAATCCGAGTTTTTAGATTTATTTATTTGTTTTCACCATAATCCTGAATTCACAGATGAACTATATTATTACAAAATCTAATTACTTTTTTTAACGATTTTTTTCTATTTGAATTTTTCTCTAGACCCTAATACGAAAAATAAAATTCTAAACGAATTACTACAATAATAGGCGTGTAGCGTGTGAAAAATCTGGTACACACTTGGCAAGAGATGGGCACAAGTGTGCCTGATTGGGTTATCTTCATATCTCATTGAACTATTGATTTCTATCGTGATATCTTCAACGCGTTTGACCTCCTCAAGTGCTAGATATGATTTGGTTGTTATCTTGTGAAGTTCTTATGCCATTTTATTTTCTCCATTTGATTATTATATATGTAATTGATGTTCATGTCTTTGATGCTGTGTAAAATCTATCAAATAAATTATTATTACTGATTTAAAGGTTTAAAACAATTGAATTAATAATAATAAAAAAAAAAAAAAAAAAAAGAAAAAAAAAACTAATTGAGGACTGTATAGATATAGAAGAGTGTTTGCTTTTACGTGTCTCATGTAATAACATAACTTTTCCGATTGCTTAAAATTTGTATCATTTTAATTCTCTGTAATCCCAAATTCATTTCAGCTCTACTTTAAAAAAACAAACAAATTCAACCCTCTCCCCCCTTCTCGTCCCCTCAGCCCACCACGCTGATGGAAAAAAAATCCCTTGAATCATCATTTAATTACACATTTGCATTTTCAGTTTCAGGTTGGTTTTTAATTTTTATTTTTTCTTTATATTTAGACGTTTTGTATTAGATCTATGTATTAGTAAACCATCTTAAATGAATGAAAGTAGGCTACAAGTAAGAAAGAAATATTACTATTGTAAATCTGTATCAGTCCTCACAAGCCGGTGATGAAAACTGTAATACTAAAGCGAACACACACAACTGACGCTGTAAATTACATGTCTGAGGCAAAAAAAAAAAAAAAAAAAAAAAAAAAAAAAAAAAAAAAAAAAAAAAAAAAAAAAATTAACGTCAAAAAAAAAAAAAAAAAAAAAAAAAAAAAAAAAAAAAATTGTGAAAGTAGCTTGTCGCAAAATGGCGAAGTAAATAAATCTAATTAATTGATTGAATAAATTTGATGGTAAATTTAATTTTATTTGTTGTATTTATTTATCATGGTTTTTTTAAAAAGTAACTATTAGGATGAACAATGCCACACTGCCATGAAAAAGACACCTTTGATCAAGAACATCCATAATTACTTTATATACATTTTTAGCTTTCTTATTATTAATTATTAAATTGAGTCAGCAGTTTTAAAATGATTAAGCAATTTCCAGCGTCTCGTGTAGCCTCCCCTTAAGAACATTGCCATTATGTTAGTGGATGATGGGAGATAATTACTGTACAGGTATTACAACATTTCTATACGCCGTTAAACTATTTAAGGGAATATGATTATGAATTGATATTTCGAGACTTAGTGGTCCATAGGAAAGAAAGAAAGGAAACAATTTCTTGAAGGACTACGTCATACCTGGGGTGGGGGGGGGGAGGTGAGGAGGTGGGGGAGATTAACAACGAATAACTCAAAGAATAACATAATGGTCAGCGGCCAGGCGTTTTAGCTGATTTGATCTTAGGTACGGTACACATTATAGCTGTGTGAGCTCAAGTCCAAAAAAAGAAGTCAAGGTACTGATACAGCCAGTTTTCGAACTTCAACCTTCAATTTATAATGACCCCCCCTCCCACTGTTCTTCAATAAGACCATTAAAATGGTAAGTTTTTCTTCGTTATTAATTGTAATGTCAGACCTGATTTACTCCAACACTATTTAGTATTAAGTGTCACTCTGTGATTCGCTATACATACATACATACATACATATATATATATATATATATATATATATATATATATATATATATATATATATATATATATATATATGTATATATGTATATATGTATATATATATATATATATATATATATATATATATATATATATATATATATATATATATATATATATATATATATATATATATATATATATATATATATATATATATATGTGTGTGTAAGCAATGAACTCAATCTACATTAACAACGATGTTGGGATATTATTTAGAACTAGAGTTTTTTTTATTTTTAAAAATTTCCTTTTCAAAGACGCAAAATTTGTGTGTATACATCTGCATTCTCTTTTAATTAACACTCGAATTTAGAGCCATCTTTAAAATACCAAGGCCCGCTACTTTCAAGTAAAAGTTGGTAGGTCAAAACCTTGTGTTTGGATCCGTAGGGCGTTTTGTGTATTGGATGAACACAGCGTGAATCTGTAGTTCACATACCACACAGTTCATTGTTTAAGCTAGAGCTACACGCTGTCACAGGTGCGATAACTTATCACCAGATAACCGGCGCATACACAGGCACCAACAAAACCGAAATCCCACCCACCCACACACCCACTAACGAAACAATCACCACCCACCCAACAACCCACCTACCACTCACTATCAAGGCATCCGCTAGCCACCCACCCAATATCACACCAACCCTCTCAATAACAACAACAAACCACCACCCACTCACCCGCCAACAAACAAACCTCCGCCAATCTACTCAAACAAAATCCCACCCACCACCCTCCGCCCACCCTCGCACCACCCACCTACCAACCTACCACCCACCTACCTAACAACCCCCCACCCACTTACCTACCAACATACCGACCACCACCCACCCACCAAACCACCACCCACCCACCAACAAACAAACAACCACTCACCCACCCACCCATCACCAACCCATCCAAACCCTACCCCCCCCCCTCCACCCATCCACCCATCCAAAACCCCACTACCCACCCACCCACCCATGCAAACCCCACCCACACCTACATGAGCTCAACTTTCTACTGCGACTTTGTATGCTAGCTCATGTAAAATGAAACTAGACCACGGCTCCACATTTGTACCCCTAATGCACATAATATATGCTGCAATTTTGTGCAACATTTGCAACATTTGCAGCAATACTCTGCACACTCAGGGCCTTGGGGTAAAGTAACCGGCAACTGTATGTCTCTAATGTAGCAAAAGACCGCACGTTAGTGCTACCAATGTAGCAACATGCTGCACACTTAGGTCATTAAAGTAAAAAAAACATGCACATTTGTGTCCCTAATGTAATGATGTGATGTATGATTGCCTTTAACGCTATAAATAACTATACTTTTGTGTTTTATGTGTAGACTAGAAAAAGACTGCATTTCTCTGCGTCTAATGTTAAAATAAGACTTACATTTTTGTGGCATAGTCTTGACTGAGATTTGTTGAGGTTGTTACGTAGAGATAAAGATTGCTCTCGGCTAAAAGAGCATAACTTGCATCCAAGCATTTGTTGATTACTTCCCTTTCCAAAAGGGAAACAATTAGTATTTAAATTGCAATTTAAGGGGCGGAATTGAAGTGTGACGTTATATTAGAACGTTTAGAGGGGTGCGGGTCGTATGACATTTCATGACGAGGAGCGACTATGGAGAAGGGTGTGCGTGTGTGTGTTGGTAGGGGAGGGGGTGGTGATTGTGCGTTAAAAAAGCGTGACGTTATTTATGGGCGATCTTCAGGGTTAGAGTTCATGAAAAATTTGTGAATGAACTATCATTATTGGCTAAACTAATATTTGGTTATGACTATCTAAAATTGCCTATTGATTGGATAAAAAATTGTAGCTTAAATATTTGAAGATTAAAATATTTTAGACGATTAATTGTTAAAAAAAGGAATACCCAAGATGTTGAAAATGTTAAAAAAATAAATAGAATGCTAAAACTTGAAGCACAACAAGATAAGTTTATGGATTTTTTCTTTTATTTACATGTATTGGACATTTTATTACTATGGTAAACTTTGTCACTAGTACCGCAGTAATCTATTTTTTGAGAATAAACTTTATTAATTTATACTAATTTTCTTTTAAAGGAGACACTACAACTCGTATACACTTTTATAAAAGAAAAAAAAACATATTTGAAAAAAAATTTCATTCAGCATAATTGCACATAAACTCAATCAAAAAGACGAAAAGACAATCACCCACTTAATACCCTATGATAATATTATTCAAATCACGCACTACTTCGAATCTAAGTTTAGAAATCATTATGACAACAATTAGAAAAAAAAAACAACAAACAAGCAAATAACAGAAATGTTGCTTCGGCGTTTTTTTTCAATAGACAAACAATAAAAAAAAGTATAATTTTCCTTTTAATAAATACAAATATTCCTGATGAAGACCTATGGTCGAAAAGTCATTGAAAGAGTTTTGTTCGTTGAAGATTTCCGTATTTCCCGTACCCTAGCGTCAAGCTCGCTCTCCGATTCACGTTGAAGATTTCCGTGTTTCCCATACCTTAGGGTCAAGCTTGCTCTCCCATACACTGGACCCTAGCTGGCACTGCTCATAGCGATGGTGTCATCCCCGCTGGGCTTCAACTTCTTGACCACAACCACAATCAGCGCTACCACCAAGGCTCCGCCCAACAACATCCCAACTGCTATCCCGGCCATCGCTCCTGGAAAACAGGAAAAAAAACTTTCAAAACTTTTGAGCAATTTTTAAAACAATTTTGTAGGACTTCTACAAATTCAATATTAAAAAATAATTTGTTTTCTTCTATTTATAACTAAATATCAAGGTTAAGAGATTATGCCAGTTTGTTTATTTTATTGTTTTAGTAGCATGGCGTGTTTATTGAAGTAAAATACAAACTGGAAACCAAATGCAAACACGTATACAATTCAAGATTAATTTCGTAGAAGTTTAGATTTATGGCCAAAATTAAATGAAAATCCATTTTCTTTCACCCTCTCCCCTCCCCCATTGGTGGTGTTGTATTTATCTATTTCTTTTCAAATGAAAATTATAATAAAAAGTTCGTTCTTAAAATAGTTTTATTGTGCTGAGACCTAAAGGAAATAAAAAGTCCGATAACTCAAGATCCAAGGGCGGTAATAATAATAAAGAAATTACTAACCACTGGTGAAGCCAATGGTGGTTGATGATGATACTGCTTGAAATTTCCCTTTGTTTTTAGTGACGGCAGCAGACCCAGGCCTAGCGTACAGCGTCGTCTTGGCCTGGTGTAAACAACGCAAGTAACCATAGCAACAGTTATATAACCACAAGTTACCATATCAAGTTGTAATCAATACAAGTTACCATATCAAGTTGTAATCAATACAATCAACCATAGCGACGGTTTTGTAGTAAAAAAAATAGCCTGTTGGCTTAAAATATCACCGTTTTTATAACTTTACTAACGTAATCGGTTGCTTGTTCATTTAATTATTTGTGAATCATCAACTGCATTGAACTTCCCCTCTCTTGTGAACCCTCGGCTTAACTACAACACTCGTCATTTAACTTGACATCTACACTCGTTGGTCTTCACTTCTACCACTACAACAGCTGCACCATCAGTCGATCCCCAGCCATCAATGTGAACCTCAACGACCCCCTTCTGCGAAACCATGCAATTCATCAACTGTCACCCAAACCCAACAACAATATTTAGCCCACTACCCTTCATACCATCCCACGACCATAAAATACATCAGCTGTTACCCCATAATAACACCCCATAGGCCCACTACCCCTCACATCTCATACCCTATCAACGACCCCCACATCATCACCTCTGGTGCTAAGTCCCTCCCTCAATTCTCTGTTCCACCACCCCACTACCCTTCATACCCCCCACACCCCACACCATCACCCCCTGAACCCACTCCCTCCCTCAACTCCCTGCTCCACCACCCTCTACCCCTCACCCTTCATACCCACCCACAACCCCACACCATCACCCTTATAATCCACTCCCTCCCTCAACTCCTTGTTCCACAACCCCTCTACCCCATACCATCCCACTACCCCACACCATCACCCCCTGAACCCACCCCTCTCTCAACTCCCTGCTCCACCACCCCACTACCCCTCACCCACCATACCCTACCACAATCCCACACCATCACCCTCAAGAACCCACTCCCTCCCCCAACTCCCTGCTCCACCAAGTACTCACGTTCGAGCCAATGTCCACGTAAAACGAGCCGCCGTTCACTTTGTTGACGAAGTTGGAGAAGATCGTCTGACTACTGACAGGGGGCTGGGAGGGCGTCACGCCCCGTTGGTCGCCGCCCAGACGTGGGGTTTCCAGTAGTTTAAACCTGACCACAAGCTCGTTGTTATTAGCTGGCTGAACCTGTTCGGAAAAAAAGAGTAAATAATAGCTTCACATTGTGAACATAAAGGCGTCTCTAGGGGGTGCCTGGGTTGTGTCCACCCCTTTTAGTTAAACTTTCTATTTGTATTAGAAGTTGTAGCCTATATTTAGCGAGACAATAGTATTTTTATACAATGCTATTATAAAGTTGATAAAGAATATTTAAAAACTTTGCTGTGACTCATTTCCGTTTGCAATTTTAGTTTTAATTTGTCTCTATTGTATTCTAAAATTATCGTCATTTTGATTGGGGGGAGGGGGATTGCTCACCTGGAGAAGTCCACCGCCCCTCCCACAGACCAAATAGATAAATTAAATAGAAAAAATTAACTTTAACCGGTGTCGTCGTCTTCGTCGCCCCACTCCCTATTTTTAACCCCCCCCCCCCCCACCCTCTGAGAAAACGTCGGAAAGATACATATTTCGCCGTGGTTTCTATTGGTCAATGCCACAAGGACACGACAATGCTTACGTCCAGCTCTGCGATTCTCAGCGATGACCCCAGACCCGTGGCACTGACCAGCGCTCCGAGGAAATTTTGCCTGAAGCTGCCAGGGTCTGGTAGGTAGAACTGGTCGTAACGTCCTGGAATATAAGGATTTACAGGTGAGATGTGGGTAGGTAGGAATAACAGAACTAATGTGTGGTTTGCGTTGTGAACATGAAACGCCTATGGGAGAATAATCTAGAGTTCTGTACTAGTGTACCATACATCCAGAAGGTTAGATCATCCCTTTGGATATTGTATCTGGTGACGTAAGTACTAGTAAACGAATTCACACATTGCTACGCTTGAAATTACGAGCAATACCGACCCTTCAGCTACCTGTGACTTCCAGCACTCAAGACCCCCACAGCTACCTGTAACTACTAACACAAAAGACCCACCTCACCTGTGCACTAAAGACCACTCTTATGTATCAATGACACATAGAAATATTGAACCCTCTACATCGGTAATAATAGCACTACAGCCAACTAACCACCCACCTATAACTACATACACTACAGACCCCTAACCACCCACCCAACTACATACACTACAGACCCCTAACCACCCACCTATAACTACATACAGACCCCTAACCACCCACCCAACTACATACACTACAGACCCCTAACCACCCACCTATAACTACATACACTACAGACCCCTAACCACCCACCCAACTACATACACTACAGACCCCTAACCACCCACCTATAACTACATACACTACAGACCCCTAACCACCCACCCAACTACATACACTACAGACCCCTAACCACCCACCCAACTACATACACTACAGACCCCTAACCACCCACCCAACTACATACACTACAGACCCATAACCACCCACCCAACTACATACACTACAGACCCCTAACCACCCACCTATAACTACATACACTACAGACCCCTAACCACCCACCCAACTACATACACTACAGACCCCTAACCACCCACCCAACTACATACACTACAGACCCCTAACCACCCACCCAACTACATACATTACAGACCCCTAACCACCCACCCAACTACATACACTACAGACCCCTAACCACCCACCTATAACTACATACACTACAGACCCCTAACCACCCACCCAACTACATACACTACAGACCCCTAACCACCCACCCAACTACATACACTACAGACCCCTAACCACCCACCTATAACTACATACACTACAGACCCCTAACCACCCACCCAACTACATACACTACAGACCCCTAACCACCCACCCAACTACATACACTACAGACCCCTAACCACCCACCCAACTACATACACTACAGACCCCTAACCACCCACCTATAACTACATACACTACAGACCCCTAACCACCCACCCAACTACATACACTACAGACCCCTAACCACCCAACTACATACACTACAGACCCCTAACCACCCACCCAACTACATACACTACAGACCCCTAACCACCCACCTATAACTACATACACTACAGACCCCTAACCACCCACCCAACTACATACATTACAGACCCCTAACCACCCACCTATAACTACATACAGACCCCTAACCACCCACCCAACTACATACATTACAGACCCCTAACCACCCACCCAACTACATACATTACAGACCCCTAACCACCCACCTATAACTACATACACTACAGACCCCTAACCACCCACCTAACTACATACACTACAAACCCCTAACCACCTACTTATAACAACATACACTACACACCCCTAACCACCCACCTAACTACATACAAACCACTAACCACCCACCTATGACTCCACTCACTAACTTCCACGTCACGCATCACTGAGCAGCACCACAGACCTACCTGAAAAAAACACCTCCACGTTCATCGTGTTGTTGGTGCTAAAGCAGTTGGACACGTCGGGTACGTGCTTGTCGGGGGAGTCGGTCCACTCAAAGATGTGGTACTGGAGGGAATTCTGTGGGAGACATGAGAGAATAATGACCTTGTATCAGATATGAGAGAATAATGACATTGTATCAGATATGAGAGAATAATGACATTGTAGGAGACATGAGAGAATGACCTTGTAGGAGACATGAGAGAATGACCTTGTAGGTGGCATGAGAGAATGACCTTGTAGGTGGCATGAGAGAATGACCTTGTAGGAGACACGAGAGAATGAACTTGTAGGAGACACGAGAGAATGACCTTGTAGGAGACATGAGAGAATGATGACCACCCACCTATAACTACATACACTACAAACCCCCACCCATGACTGCACGTACTAGCCTCCACGTCACGCACCACTGAGCAGCATGAGAGAATGATGACCTTGTAGGAGACATGAGAGAATGACCTTGTAGGAGACATGAGAGAATGATGACCTTGTAGGAGACATGAGAGTATGACCCTGTAGGAGACATGAGAATGACCTTGTAGGAGACATGAGAGAATGATCTTGTAGGAGACATGAGATAATGACCTTGTAGTTGTAGGTAGCATGAGATAATGACCTTGTAGGAGACATGAGAGAATGATGACCTTGAAGGAGACATGAGAGAATGATGACCTTGTAGGAGACATGAGAGAATGACCTTGTAGTTGTAGGTAGCATGAGATAATGACCTTGTAGGAGACATGAGATAATGACCTTGTAGGAGACATGAGAGAATGACCTTGTAGGATACATGAGAGAATGACCTTGTAGGTGGTATGAATGAATGACCATGACCTTGTAGGAGACGAGAGAATGACCTTGATCTTGTAGAAGACATGAACAAATGACCATGACCTTGTAGGAGACATGAGAGTATAACCATGTACGTGGCATGAAAGAATGACCATGATCTTTCACGAAAGGTTATGGTGCAAATATATAAAGAGCCTAAGAACTAAAGAGAGAGGATTTGACTGGAGTCCACCTGTATTTTTGTTACCTTGTCACGTGATGCGATGGCCGAGAGTGACTGAGGGTCACTGTAGCCGTGTACTCACCACGATCCCAGAGCCAGGCTGAGGGGTCGACTGGCGCTCTAGCATGATCGGCATGGTGAACGGGGTCTGGTACCCGTTGCTCCTCATCCAGTCGTACTTGGGGATAGAGAGCACACACTAGGTGTTAGTACAGCTATACATACAGCTATGTACGAGACACACTCACATACACACACAAAATACACACACACACGAACATATATACATATATATATATATATATATAGAGAGTATATAATATATAATATATATATGCATATATATATATATATATATATATATATATATATATATATATATATATATATATATATATATACATATATATATATATTTGTTTATATATTTATATATAATATACATATACACAAATAAATATTCATCTATATATACACAGATAAATACTTATATATATACTTACGGTAGCGAAGTACCAGATGTACAGTGTATTCTGGAGATGGTCAGGTGCATTGTCCACCATGTATGTCGCCCAGGTATCGCAGTCTATGTCTCTTATTCTATGCTACAAAAAAAAAACAATAACAACAAGACAAATCTTACGAATGAGAAAACAGCTAAAAAGTTCCCATCTAAGAATGCATATAAACGTGTCTAACAGCTTCAGATTCTTTAAACAACTTAAAGGGAATCTGACGCCACATCGCCATGAGAGCACATTGCGCATTTTCTTAGTAAAAAAAGATGTATGGAACATTACGAGCGTTGGTTTCCCCCCCCCCCCATCCCCCCTCACCCCGATTGTTCTAGAACATTGTCAAACGAATGGAAACTAAACCGAATTCGCGTGGATGTCTTGACACTACGTATGCATTAAGACGGTATTTTTCATTCCTTTTATATATTGTTTACATTCTCAATTTAAAGAATTCGTCTCTCATGTACTCAAATTATCAATACTCAATCTCTTTAAACAAGCGTTCTCATAATGCATCTTCTTCTTCTTCTTCGTTCTTAATTGAGAATATGGTGGAGGATTTAGACAACAAGTCCAACTTCGTGAATAAACCGGACTGTGGTCTCCAGATCAGCAGGTGCCCCATATAATTTTTCCCTGAGTGGGGTGGGCAGGGGCCAGTGTCTGATTCGTGCCTGGTCATATAAAGAACATTCCTGAAGGACGTGCTCCGTATTATCCGGGGCCTTGCCACAAGGGCATATTTCGCCACACCCAATTTTTAGTTTTTTTATGCATGTGTTGATTTAGTCTGTTATGGCCTGTTCTAAGTCGAAAGATTATGTATTGTTGTTTTCGTGTCAAGTTATAATATCCATCATCTTTGTTGTAGTGAGGGTGTGTGTCAGACCACATTTGCTCATAATGCATCGATTCTTAACATTTACAAAATACACTATAACCTAAATACAGATTCTTGAAGACGGGTATCGATACTCACAATTCCCATGTACTGGTACTTGTCACTGTCCAGGCTGAAGAATTCGTCCGAGTTTCTCATCCGGACATTGCCGTTCCTGTCGCTGTACGCATCGTCGCGGCTTCCGTCTATGGCGGAGGTGATACAGGCCCCTGAGGTCAAATCCAGCTGGTAGCTGATACCTGCAATATACGGAGCTTAAGGTGTGATACTGGCTAGTGCTTTACGGAGCTTAAGGTGTGATACTGGCTAGTGTTTTACGGAGCTTAAGGTGTAATACTGGCTAGTGCTTTACGGAGCTTAAGGTGTGATACTGGCTAGTGCTTTACGGAGCTTAAGGTGTGATACTGGCTAGTGCTTTACGGAGCTTAAGGTGTGATACTGGCTAGTGCTTTACGGAGCTAAAGGTGTGATACTGGCTAGTGCTTTACGGAGCTTAAGGTGTGATACTGGCTAGTGCCACCTCGACACACGGACACCTTTACGGAGCTTAAGGTGTGATACTGGCTAGTGCTTTACGGAGCTTAAGGTGTGATACTGGCTAGTGCCACCTCGACACACGGACACCTTTACGGAGCTTAAGGTGTGATACTGGCTAGTGCTTTACGGAGCTTAAGGTGTGATACTGGTGAGTGCCACCTCGACATACGGTCACGTTTATGGAGCTTAAGGTGTGATACTGGCTAGTGCCATCCCGACACACGGACACCTTTACGGAGCTTAAGGTGTGATACTGGCTAGTGCCACCTCGACATACGGACACGTTTATGGAGCTAAGAGTATAAGAGTGCTGGCTAGTGCCACAATCCACAAACTTTCAGCCACAGAAAAATCTAAATAATCCCACTCGTTAAATACCGCAAACGTCCACCAATATCAGAGAAGTTCTAAAGGGAAACCCAATAATATCAGAATAAATGTATAGAAAACCCACCAATATCAGGATCTCTATAGAACTCTATCGAAAAATAACCCACCAATTACAAATCCACTCTTAGAGAAAACCCACAACATCAGAGGCAGTTTTAAAAGGAAAAACCACCAATGTCAGAGCAGATATAAGAAAAACCCACTAAATATAAAACCGCTATATGAGAAAACCCACAAATATCAGTAGATTAAAAAACCCACCAATATCAATTCAGAGTAGCTTAAAAGGAAAGCCCACCAATTACAAAAGTAGCTCTAAAGAAAGCCCACCATAGTAGCTCTTAAAAAACCCCCCACCAATTACAAAAGTAGCTCTAAAGAAAGCCCACCATAGTAGCTCTTAAAAAAAACCCCACCAATTACAATAGCAGCTCTAAAGAAAGCCCACCAAAATTAGTTCTAAAGAAAGCCCACCAAAGTAGCTCTAAAGAAAGCCCACCAAAGTAGCTCTAAAGAAAGACCACCAAAGTAGCTCTAAAGAAAGCCCACCAAAGTAGCTCTAAAGAAAGCCCACCAAAGTAGCTCTAAAGAAAGCCCACCAAAGTAGCTCTAAAGAAAGCCCACCAAAGTAGCTTTAAAGAAAGCTCACCAAAGTAGCTCCAAAGAAAGCCCACCAATTACTAAAGTAGCTCTAAAGAAAGCCCACCAATTACAAAAGCAGCTCTAAAGAAAGCCCACCAAAGTAGCTCTAAAGAAAGCCCACCAAAGTAGCTCTAAAGAAAGCCCACCAAAGTAGCTCTAAAGAAAGCCCACCAATTACAAAAGTAGCTCTAAAGAAAGCCCACCAAAGTAGCTCTAAAGAAAGCCCACCAGTAGCTCTAAAGAAAGCCCCCCAGTATCAGAACCACAAGAGAAAACCCACCTGTGTTGTAGTCGTCCACTATCCTGATGTAGGACTTGTCGTTGGGGCTGTTGCGCTGTGGTGTGCTGATGAACTCCTGCACGAATATCTGCAAGGTCTTCCTGTACTCAACCTGCACGAAAACAGCAGCAAATATCAACTTTAGACCTGCACGAAAACATCAGCAAACATCAAGTTTAGATCCACACGAAAACATCAGCAAACATCAACTTTAGACCTACGAAAATATCAGCAAATATCAACGTTAGACCTACACAAAAACATCAGCAAATATCAATTTTTGATCTTCTAGAAAACATCAGCAAATATCAACTTTAGACCTGCACGAAAACATAAGCAAATATCAACTTAAGCCTTCATGAAAATATCAATAAATATCAACTTTCGACCTACGCGGAAAACATCAAACATCAAATATCAATATCCTATCTACACGTCCTTTAGTTATTCGAATGATAATCTGCAGTGACCAGACAGGCATAGATCACAATCACATACCACGGTGTAGGTCAAGCTGGGAGGGTCGGGCCTCTGGCCGTTGATGTTGCTCAAGGTCACCTGCTCGGCCTTGAACTTAAAGTATTGTGGAATGGTGGGCAAGGGTTTGAGTGTCGTGGGCTTGCCCGCACACAACATCGTGGCTGGTATCTGTTAACAGGTTAGAAATGTCAGATTATATAGGAAGCTTCGTGATGATTCATATTAAATATATATATATATATATATATATATATATATATATATATATATATATATATATATATATATATATATATATATATATATACACACATATATACCTATATAAAAAGAAGGTCAAAATGTTCTTACATGGTTGTTAATATTAACTGTGTTTAGGACAATTTAAGTTTTAAATTTTAAAAACATAAATTGTATTTCGATAGTTTTAATTTTGATCGATGTAATCGAATCACACACATAACATTTAAAGCTGCAGAATACACTATTCGATTTTTATCAAAATAATCGACTTCGACAAAATAACATACCTGGAATGCTCTATCTTTGGGATCGATATGGGCGAAGTGTGTGTAATCGATACTGGTGATAAAAGAAAATTGGTTAACTGTTGACTAAAATAAATTTATTTTTAAAATTTTATTCTCAAATAATTTTTGAGTAAACTCAATGTATCATCTAGTCCTTATGCAGTATGTCTAAGCCAAAAGTATAATCTACCCCTAATGTGGTGCATCTAACCCAACAGAACCTAGCTACCCAAAACCAAGGCGATGGGCCCCCTCAAGTCCTAATGTGGTACGTGTAACCCTAAAGTAACCTCTAGTCCTATTGAGGTACGTCTAACCCAACAGTATCAATCTATCGAAAACTAAATCGATGGGCCCCCTCTAGCCCTAATGTGCTACGTCTAACCCAACAGTGTCAATCTATCAAAAACTAAATCGATGGGCCCCCTCTAGCCCTAATGTGCTACGTCTAACCCAACAGTGTCAATCTATCAAAAACTAAATCGATGGGCCCCCTCTAGCCCTAATGTGCTACGTCTAACCCAACAGTGTCAATCTATCAAAAACTAAATCGATGGGCCCCCTCTAGCCCTAATGTGCTACGTCTAACCCAACAGTGTCAATCTATCCAAAGCTAAATCGATGGGCCCCCTCTAGTTCTTATATGGTACGTCTAACCCAACAGAACCTAGCTACCCAAAACAAAAGCGATTGTCCCCCCTCTAGCCCTAATATGGTACCTTTAAACCCAACAGTAACCTCTAGCCCTAATGTGGTACGTCTAACCCAACAGTACCAATCTACCCAAAAAAAAACACCATGGGCCCTACTCTGCTCTGATCTCATTGAAGCTGGCATCAAGGGACACGACGCTAATACTGATGGGAAGAACAGGGTTGTTTTCTCCTACCGAGTCCACGTTCACAGACATGGTGTAACTGTTGGCGTCTGTGGAGCGGGAAAACAAGTTGCTAATTATAGACCAAAAGCAATTTAGAAATGCCGGTATATGAGCTACGGGAAAACCCAGTCTTAATTATAGAACAAAGGCAAGTTAGTTTTAGCATCTGAAGAACGGGAAAACTCAAAGTTAATTTTAGAGCAAAGGGAAGTAATACGTTTTTGAAAAAAAAAAGAGTTATTCGGATAGAACCAACACATATTGCGCCAAAGAGGACCAACCAAAAAAACACCAAGGGACGCGACCTTAAAGTTGACAAAGATGGACTACACCTGGAGCCAGGTTGGGAGAATGGCGCAGAACAGAAGATGGGGATCTTTGGTTGGCGGTTCATACATGATTGGAAGAATCCGAAAAAAAACAACAACCCACAATTATATAAATAACCACACAGTAAAATTGTAAGTAAAAATATGAAGATCAAGGAAGGCGCAGAGTTAAATACTAGAGGAGGGGGGCATACTAGGGTGGCAAGATAGGGGTACAAAGGGGGTGGGGGGGGGTGGGGCATGTTAAGGTGGCGTGCCAAGGGAATTTTGTATAAAGCAATAGTTCTTAACCTGGGTTCGATCGAACCCCATAGGTTCAATGAATTTAGGCGGAGGTCAAGACACATCTGACTCGTATACTGTACGATCGGATTTTTTCAGTGGAGAAGAAAGAATGATTAAGAAGGGTTCGGTATATGCGCGCTTATGCAACTGGTGCGGTTAGATACTTCCCAAAAGGTTAAGAGCCGCTGGTTTAGAGGGAGGGTGATAAGTTGAATGGAATTTTTATTTTTCAAGTTGTTTAGTTTACTAAGGCAAGTGAAGTGTAACTCTTCTTTAAGGCAAAACAAACAACAGAAGACAGTAATATTAATAAACAAAACAGTCAAAACGAGGCTGTGAGAACTCACCTGTGATCTGCCATTCCGTGACGGTCGTCAGGTCGTACACGTCATAGTACTCGCACGTGATCCATTTTTGGGTATCGATACCTGCAGTAATCGACATAAAACTATTTTGAGTATTTATACCCCTGTATGAACGCTAAACCAGGGTACATTGTAAAAGTCAGTTAAAAAAATCTTTGTAAAACTGTATGGTAATTTTAACGTAGGCAAATTTATTTTTCTCGATGTAATCATTAGCTTTAAACATTTATTTAAGCTAATAACACACGAATTGTAGTATTTAAAATGTTAGCTCTTAGTAAAGGTAAGCTGTCGGTTTGATACTAAATTAACATTTCAGACTAGAGGAAGTAGAGTTACTCTCTTTCTCTGACCTCGGCATATTAGGAAATCCGTGATGTGATGTGCACATTGATATGAGTCAGGGAAAGAGAAGACGTCTAGTCTATTCCAACCTATGCGGAGGTTAACTTTCGGCCGCTTGGTCCAAAAGGGTACTTATACTGACCAAGGTACTATACTGACCAAGGTACTATACTGACCAATGTACTTATACTGACCAAAGTACTATACTGATCAAGGTACTTATACTGACCAAGGTACTTATACTGACCAAAGTACTATACTGACCAAAGTACTATACTGACCAAGGTACTTACACTGACCAAGGTACTTATACTGACCAAGGTACTTATACTGACCAAAGTACTATACTGACCAAGGTACTTATACTGACCAAGGTACTTATACTGACCAAGGTACTTATACTGACCAAGGTACTTATACTGACCAAGGTACTTATACTGACCAAAGTACTATACTGACCAAAGTACTATACTGACCAAGGTACTTATACTGACCAAAGTACTATACTGACCAAAGTACTATACTGACCAAGGTACTTATACTGACCAAAGTACTATACTGACCAAGGTACTTATACTGACCAAGGTACTTATACTGACCAAGGTACTTATACTGACCAAAGTACTATACTGACCAAGGTACTTATACTGACCAAAGTACTATACTGACCAAGGTACTTATACTGACCAAGGTACTTATACTGACCAAGGTACTTATACTGACCAAAGTACTATACTGACCAAAGTACTATACTGACCAAGGTACTTATACTGACCAAGGTACTTATACTGACCAAGGTACTTATACTGACCAAAGTACTATACTGACCAAGGTACTTATACTGACCAAGGTACTTATACTGACCAAGGTACTTATACTGACCAAGGTACTTATACTGACCAAGGTACTTATACTGACCAAAGTACTATACTGACCAAAGTACTATACTGACCAAGGTACTTATACTGACCAAAGTACTATACTGACCAAGGTACTTATACTGACCAAGGTACTTATACTGACCAAGGTACTTATACTGACCAAAGTACTATACTGACCAAGGTACTTATACTGACCAAGGTACTTATACTGACCAAAGTACTATACTGACCAAGGTACTTATACTGACCAAGGTACTTGTACTGACCACACGGAGAAAAAACATGCAAGGGTCAAGGCTGCTCTGTTGAGTTGTATGTTAAATTGTACGTATGTTTAATTTGGGATGTTGTATACATTGTTCGCTTATTTATTTATTTTGTGGGACGGACTGGTCGTAGGATAGAGCGGAGATCCCACAAAAGACGTCCATCCACCTCTAACGGGTACCTGTCTAATGGTGGAGAAGTAAAGCCGTCTGCGCATACTACTAACCCCACTGTTCAAATTATGCCTCGCTCGCTCGCAGAAACAGATGAACTCTACTTCATCTGGTCGATTGACCGCTATGTACGAGAGAGGTAACTTACCTCTGGAGTTGGACTTGCCCACGTATGTGATGTTCCTCTGTACAGAGCTGTCCCAACCCATAAACACTGAAAACAAAATTGTCAGCCATATTAGGGGCATGGCAAGGCGCATGCGCGATGGTTAAATCAGATTTTATGGATTTATTTCAATAATTAGTTTTGAAAGAACAAAACTTAACTAAGCCTGTGAAAAAGTGAAGATTTAAGGCAGATATTGTCCCCAGGAGAAGGAGAGATGTATATGCTATCAGAGGCGTAGCGAGGGGGGGGGGGGTGCGGACCGCACCGGGTGACACCATTTAGGGGGGTGACACCAAGGCAAAAAATAGCAAAAAATTTTTTAGGGGGGGGGGATGTAAATCGAAAATTTGAATGTTTGTCCCCGGGAAGGGTCGCTACGCCTCTGGGGGGCGGGGGTGACACCATTATGTGCCGCACCGGGTGACACCCGACCTTGCTACGCCACTGTATGCTATACCTTGGCATCGAAACATAAACATTAAATCGCATTCAAGCAATTTTGTTTCCATTAATTTAAAATGTAATGAGACTTTGAAATTTTCCTGGAGAGTTATTATAATTTGTTAGCCTTGAAACAATATCGTTTCAAACCGATCATTTACACCTTCAGTCTTCGCTGGGGAGTGAGGTTTAAAATATGTGAGATGAAACAAACGGGACACATCTACTCACATTCTGGGGTTGCTAGCTTGATCGAGCCGTCTGCTGCTTTGGTTGCCCTCAGATACTTAAACATGGGTGAGCTCTCAAAAGGCGTATCTTGGCAGATATCTGCGGGGAGTAATTGGAGAATATTTAGTATCTTTAGGAAACGATGAGGAGATAATGTTTATGTAAATTTAAGGAAAATATAAAGGGACATAATTGAGGGTTGAGATAACGGATTTATATTTAGTATCTTTCGAGACATCTGTGTGGAAAATGTTCTACAAGAATGCGGGTTCTACCAAGAAGGCCTAGACTCTAGCACCAAAATATTCCACTCAATCATTATCTTTCCCCGTTCGTGCCCAAGACACATGGGGCATATCAAGAGGAGTTAATCTGTTTCAGAGACCTCGGCATTAGACGGGATAGTGTGGTCAGCACTATGCCCAGCCGCCTTTGTTTCCCTAACATGAGTTAGGTACCCATCAGAGCTGGGTGGACTTAAGGACATTTTACTGATTTAAACCCGGATTCGAATTCGAGTCTTTCGGGTTAGCAGGCTAGCTCTCTACCGCTAGACCACGCCGTACCATACCCCACTCAATGAGAGCTTTCAAAGCTTGAGACGACCATGCAGGTTTGTCTATGACGTTCGTCTAAGTCTAGTTGAATGATTCCTACGATTTAAAAATATTACAGAAGCAAATCCAAACAGAAAAGCAGGCTGAAATCGGAGTCAATGGCCTATATGGCGCATAACAAGTTGACACGTGATCCTAACTCACCGGCGAGGTACGATAAAGCCTACTGTGTCTAACCCTAACCCACCAGTGAGTTACGACCCGGCCAACTATCTCTAACCCTAACCCTACCGTTGCCGGCCAGTGGTCTACTGTCTCTAGCCCTAATCCTACCGTTGCCGGCCAGTGGTCTACTGTCTCTAACCCTACCGTTGCCGGCCAGTGGTCTACTGTCTCTAACCCTACCGTTGCCGGCCAGTGGTCTACTGTCTCTAACCCTACCATTGCCGGCCAGTGGTCTACTGTCTCTAGCCCTAACCCTACCGTTGCCGGCCAGTGGTCTACTGTCTCTAACCCTACCGTTGCCGGCCAGTGGTCTACTGTCTCTAACCCTACCATTGCCGGCCAGTGGTCTACTGTCTCTAGCCCTAACCCTACCGTTGCCGGCCAGTGGTCTACTGTCTCTAACCCTACCGTTGCCGGCCAGTGGTCTACTGTCTCTAACCCTACCGTTGCCGGCCAGTGGTCTACTGTCTCTAACCCTACCGTTGCCGGCCAGTGGTCTACTGTCTCTAACCCTACCGTTGCCGGCCAGTGGTCTACTGTCTCTAACCCTACCGTTGCCGGCCAGTGGTCTACTATCTCTAACCCTACCGTTGCCGGCCAGTGGTCTACTATCTCTAACCCTACCGTTGCCGGCCAGTGGTCTACTGTCTCTAACCCTACCGTTGCCGGCCAGTGGTCTACTGTCTCTAACCCTACCGTTGCCGGCCAGTGGTCTACTGTCTCTAACCCTACCGTTGCCGGCCAGTGGTCTACTGTCTCTAACCCTACCGTTGCCGGCCAGTGGTCTACTATCTCTAACCCTACCGTTGCCGGCCAGTGGTCTACTATCTCTAACCCTACCGTTGCCGGCCAGTGGTCTACTATCTCTAACCCTACCGTTGCCGGCCAGTGGTCTACTATCTCTAACCCTACCGTTGCCGGCCAGTGGTCTACTGTCTCTAACCCTACCGTTGCCGGCCAGTGGTCTACTGTCTCTAACCCTACCGTTGCCGGCCAGTGGTCTACTGTCTCTAACCCTACCGTTGCCGGCCAGTGGTCTACTATCTCTAACCCTACCGTTGCCGGCCAGTGGTCTACTATCTCTAACCCTACCGTTGCCGGCCAGTGGTCTACTGTCTCTAACCCTACCGTTGCCGGCCAGTGGTACGGTCATCTGCTCATTGAACTGCGTGTCGATCCAGATCTGTGTGCTGTTGACCGGCTCCGAGTCCACGGCGTGCACCAGGCCGGCGCTCTGGAACAGAAGGTTGCCATGGTTACGTGTTCACCAGCTATACCCTAGTGTTTGTACTTCATTTAAAAATAAATTAATTAAAAACACAAAAATATATACTTTTTTTTCGTTTGAATTTACTCGACAGCTACTGTAACCATATGGAAACTATAATAAAACTTCCAGGGTGTATTATTAAAACAACCTTAAAAGCACATTGAAACCTCCGTTCAAACCATAATGAAATAACTATTAAACTACAACAAAACCTTCATTAACAGAACACAAAACCATTATCTAAAAAAACAAAGAAGCAATCATAAACAATCAGAAGACTACCTTAAAACCAGAACAATGCAACCATAAATTTACTGGTTAATAAAAAAAATACAATAACAAAAAAAAAACGCAAAAAAAAAAAAAAAAAAAAAAAAAAAAAAAAAAAAAAAAAAAAAAAACAACAAAAGACAATAAACCGGTAGTGATCTCCCCTAAACTTTCTCGAATATTCTTATATAAAACAACAGGGGATGGTAACTGGGGATATAGTTATGATTTTGAATCCATTTTAAATACTGAAACTTTTAAAAATAGAATAGAATCTCAGTAAAAAACAATTGCGCACCAAGCGAACGCCTAATAAAGGTGTGTATAATAGTGCGCAATAGTATTAGTACTTAATAAATTTACATTAGTTTTTTGAGAAATCGGAAGTAGCGTAAATTACTACTTCCGGTCAACGGAAATTACTCAAAATTTAACAGAAGGTAGAGGATTAGATCTTTTACTTACATGTGAAATTTCATTTATCTATCTGAAATAGTACTCAAGTTATAGGCTTTTGAAAAATTCAAAGTAGAAAAAGTACCACTTCCGGTTATCGGAAATCGCTCAAAAGTTGATACGGATCTACGATTTTGATATAATACTTATATATGAAATTTCATCAACCTAGCTGTAACGGTACTCAAGTTATCGTGTTTACACACGGACACACACACAGACACACAGACACACACACAGACATACGGACAAGATTGCAAAATTATGTTTTTCCGTATCAGTGAGGTGTAAAACGTCGAGATTTGTAAAAATCTCGATTTTTTTTTTGCACGATTACAATACTTTCTCTATACTACGTATATACGAGAAAGTAAAAAGCAAAAAAAAAAAAAAAAAAAAAGAAACAAAAAAAAAAACCACACACAAAATTACCCTTAATTAAGCTATTATAAGCCCACAAGAAAACCATCATTAAATCATTCTAAAACCACGACAAAACCACCCAAAAAAATCACGTTAAAACTATTATAAAGCCACCACAACATTACTACCATTAGAACACAACAAACCCACCCAACACGCCACCAACAAAGACTAAGATCGACCCACCGCAGCATAGAACAGTTCGATATTGCCGACAGACAAGACACCATTCGTTGTCTGTTTCTTCTCTGTGAACATGTAGAAGTTGTCGAAGAATTTCGGCTTTTGAACTGTGGACAGGAACATAGCAGTCAGAAAAACAGTTTGCAGGGTAGGGCGTTAGGGTGGAAATGTTTTTAAACCCCATCGGAAGCCCTATTTAAAACAAGTTTTTAATGTAATAAAATCTATAGTTACTTTAAGAATTTCATTTCGGAATTGTGTATTTCTTTAAGTGTTTTTTTTACACCCCCCCCCCCCAAACAATGATCGATTCTTGGATCTTGGACCGCTCACTTGTACTCTGCTTTTGACATTCTTTTAAATCATTCAACCTTTAATATGTCACGCCTCTTTGGGTTGAGTAAAAAGAAATACACAACGCCAAACCGAAAATGTCTCGACTTTTGTTTAAAAAAGTATAAGGAATTATAGGGTAACCTCCCTTTAGGCTACACACATAATTGAGTTACGTCCCTGTTGTATAAACACAAACTTGGGTTAACTCCATTTTGTGTACACACTACTTGGGTTACATCCCCTTTGTATATACATGCGTCGATCAACTTCCTGTTGTGTACACGCATACTTGGGTTACCTTCCATTTTCGTACACTTAAACTATCTCCCTGTTTCGTACACACACTTAAGTTATCTCCCTGTTTAGTACACATATATGGGTTACCTCCATGTTGTGTGTACTCACACTTGGGTTACCTCCCTGTTGTGTACACACAGTACTGGCTTACCATCTTGTGGCGTGTTGACCTGTTGTGTGATGTGCTTTAGGCAGAAGTCTTTGTTGTAATCCGCCGTTGCCATGGTGACGATGGCCGCCAATATCGTCAAAGAGCAGGGGACCTTCATTGTAACAGATCTGTACTAAAATATGAATTTAAAAAGTTTTGTTTAGCCCTCTCTTGAGGCATTTAGCACTGCAGACTTACTTTATAAAATCAGTTTTTCATTGAAGAACATAGATCTGACATATGAAGCTAAGCTTAGGCCTGGCAAGGCTGGCTCTAAGCCGTCCCTAGTTCTGTGAGGCTAGATGTAGCTAAGCAGTCTTTAGCTCTGTTGGGTTAGATATTTTTAAAGCTCTCTTTAGCTCTGTATGTCAGCTCGATGCTAAGCCGCCCTTAGCTATGCGAGGTTAACTCTAGCTAAGCCGTATTTAGCTCTTCGAGGCGTGCTCGAGCTAATCCATCTTTAGCTCTATGAGGTCAGATCTATACTGTCGTCTCTAGCTCTGTGAGGTTAGATCTATACTGTCGTCTCTAGCTCTGTGAGGTTAGATCTATGCTGTTGTCTTTAGCTCTGTGAGGTTAGATTTATGATGTCGTCTTTAGCTCTGTAAGGTTAGATCTCTGCTGTCGTCATTAGCTCTCCGAGATTAGATCCATGCTAAGCCACCCTTAGCTCTATGAGGTCAGCTCTATGCTACGTCGTCTTGAGCTCTGCTAGGTTAGCTAAGCTCCCTCACCTTCCTAGCTAGACCGCATCACGTGTTCACAAGACCGGGTAGACTTCAGGATGTAATGTGGTCTACAACACGAAAATCAAACTCAAAACTTGCGGGTTCGAAACCCACCACGTTCGAGGTAATTTTCCTGAGTCTACTCAGCTACAACGAGTACCTGTCCTAACTTGAGTAGCGTAAATATGGCTCTGGATTATTAAGCACTGGTTCTTAATCCCATGTGGACACACCGACAGATAAACTCTACTTCACCTGACATACTGATCATCGGACCCAAGGGTCGTTACAGTAAAAAAAATAATTTGATCCTTAACTCAATTTTCTTTTTGCTTATATTGAAAATATTGTTTAGTAAACGTAAAAAAACATAAACATACCATCTAGCAGCTAATGAAATAATTTCTTAAAAACATTAATATTACAAACGTACATCCGAGAAATAAAAATTGTCGGTTTATTTAGAATTCCGATGTAGTTTTTGACTATTTTATTTTTTGGGTTACACCGCCATCTTGAATTCAGCCAAACAGGAAACACTCCCACCCCGTAGACAAATCAAATGTCTTCAGCGTTATGAGATAGGGTGACACAGATGCACACCAGAGGTTCTAAAATTACGAGATTAAAGTGACCCATATCAGAAATCTAAAAATAACTATTGATATATTCAGATAAGCAAAATACATTATAATTTATTTAACGTATGCGCATCGTGTTTGTGTAGGTGTACGTCAATGGATGCATTCTTTTATGTGTATGTTTGTGTTATTATACAAAGTGTTAAGCTAACGTTATTACATCTTTTATTTAACTCCTGCCATAACACATACAAACATATATATATATATATATATATATATATATATATATATATATATATATATATATATATATATATATATAAAACAAAGAATAATTATATAACTGTATTTAAACATGCAATTATATGTAATATATATATATATATATATATATATATATATATATATATATATATATATATATATATATATATATATATATATATATATATATATATATATAACATATGTATATTTAGAACATGTATCAATGCACCATGTTTAACGTCATGTTGTATTACTAGAACCTCTGTATTATTTTTCCATTGACCATGATTAGAAGTGTTATCTTTTATAAATATTTAACACTCGTTTTACCTATCTGAACACAGCCGTCCGTGTCTTATGTGAAGCAATGTGTGAGCTCCCCTACACGGTCAAGTGAAGATAACTCTATCGTCCCGCGCTGGTTATCGCTCTTGATAAAGCGTTCTCGACGCTGTTGAAAGCGCTCGTTTTTGTCTTTTTAGTATCAACGTAGTTTACTTTTCTTTAAAGCGTTCGATCAGTAGCGTACGCAGGGGGGGAGCAGGGGGAGCGGCCGCTCCCCCTCTGGCCATTTTCAGCAAAGTGGCGCCTTTTTGGAAACTTTTTGAACTCAAAGTTTTAAACAATGATATTTGTTACAAAAATATTTTTGGTCGGCACATCTATGTAAATCACAAGATTTCTTTTCATGCAGCAATTAAGCATTATTGTACTAGTCTAGTAGTGTCTACGTTTACAACACGGATTAACAGCTGCATCAGTTTGCCATTCTAAAAATAACCATTACGATGCATTGCAATGTTTAAAAAACCGCTACGGGTAGTACCACTTGGCAAGAGGGGTGTTAAGTTTAAGGCAATTGTATAATGTATTTGCTTACATGGACCCCTCTGTAAACAATTTTTTGTCATAATACCACTGCTACTTATTTAAATCTATTTCTGTAATATATATTTGTGTAATATATATTTGTGTAATATACATTTGTGTAATATATATATATGTTTAGAAAAGTCGTCTAAAACTGACGCAATGTTCACTCTGAGTTGGTTATCTCCCCCCCCCCCACACACACACACCTCACCACCACAATTGTGTAGAGCAGGGGTCTCCAAACTTTTCAGTCCGAGGGCCGCATTAACTATCAAATTTCAGTTCGGGGGCCAATTTCTTCCAGGCATAGTTTCTCAACCATCACTAACAAACGATTTTTCCTTTGACGAAAAGATCTCAGCGGGCCGGATGAGACGACTTCGCGGGCCGCATTCGGCCCGCGGGCCGTAGTTTGGAGACCCCTGGTGTAGAGTGTAGAGCGATTATTAATGTCACACCTAGGTATACACTGGGTTGGATAATTGACCTAAAGTGACCGGACAGTGGTGAATGAAGTTGAACCCACACCCCACCCCCAACCCACCCCGAACTGATCTGTTAAGTACATGTAGAAAACCGCGTAATGATGTACCAAAGTACCATGCCGCCAGAAAATTAGCTTTTTAAACGTAAAACTCTGTGAAAATTGTTTTTGCAATTACCAGTAAAAAGGTGTGTGATCAATACAGTGATCTAACCCATACCTGTCACTATGTTTAAAAAAAAACCCAAAGAAGCAGTAGTTACTTAAAAACACATGATCTGACCTAAAAGACCGATATTTAGTTAAATGTAGGCTGTTATTCCGAGTATTTTTCAATTACATCGAAAAGCGTGGTTTTATACCAACTCTGATTTTTAAAAATTTCATTATGCTGTAATACTTTAGCATTTATGATGACGATATATTAAATTATGATTATAGACAAAAATATTTTGTAAACACGAATAGTGTTAAATAATTTCATTATATTCTAAATTAATTATTTATTGGTTTAGACATTTATAATTAAATGTGTAGATAAATACATATTATTTATATTAAGAGAGTGATAATTTCCCCTATTTCACTTGTCTTAAATAATTTCCCAGGAATTATTATGCAAGAAATTTTTTTTTACAAGAATTAAAAAACAGATTGTGTTACGTACATTGTTTTGGTTTTAGTAAGTGTATATATATTTTTTTGTTGTTGTTTAGATTGATACAATTTTTGTTTTGTCGGCCTACATTGTGTGTTTTTTCTTATTTCTTCAGAGTGCTACTTTCAATTTATTTTACATCATAGCGAAGTAATGACATACAGTAGTAATTATATATATATATATATATATATATATATATATATATATATATATATATATATATATATATATATATATATAATACACGTATATAGAACGTGTTAAAAATTCGGCGCCTTTTTTGCTCTTTTCGCTCCCCCTACAACGAAAACCTGGATACGCCTCTGCGTTCGATAATTGGTTTAAATTTTCTGATACATGCTGATTAATTCTTTAGTTGTAGTCCAATTTATTTTCGCTAAGATGTCAAATTTAATTGAAACCCCAACCCTAACTTCTGAGACCAACGCTAAACATTAGATGCCAATACTACTACAATTTGAAAAGGGTCGATTGTCGGACAGATGTAATACCAAATAGGCCTACCACAAATCTGTATAGGGATGAATTCCTAGCGAAACCAATTTTAATTACAAAAACAAGAGTGGTAAACCGTCGTAGAATTTTGGCGTATGTTTCTTACAACACACTAAGAATACTCCACCAGCAATGGGAGACTGCGTTGTCTAGATGTAACCCGGAGGTCTAGAGTTCGAGACCCGATTAGGATGGAGGAAACAAAAGCGTGCTCCATTCTTCATCCGCACCGGATGAGGCTTTTATGTGTGCAATGCTTATGAGATAAAGAAAAAGAGACTTAAAAAAAAAAAGCTACCCACGGACACCCCCCCCCACGCTCCCCCTCCACACATACTACACTGATCAGTTGCCTACGTCACATTTTGTCAAAGTGACCTTTTTTGTGGCAACATTCTAAAATGATTGAAAGCAAAGATCTACGTCATTTTTTGTTCTTCGTCTTTTACCAAATCGACCCCATGTGATTTTGTTATCAACAGTTCAACGGGTAGATGATAAGCCGATGAGATGTTATCAACACGCATCACAGTCAAATGTTATCAACACACAAAATGAGATAGTGTGTTATGGAGACGTGATTAATCTATTTTAAAGTAATTATTGACGTGTCGCGTTTATCGTCAGCTGTTTAAAGGGGGGGCGTCAACATTTATATTGTTGTCGTTCCTTCTATATCAAATTGAACCATGTCGGTACAGTCATTATCCTCTAACCCAAGGCAGATGGAACCAGTGTTTCTTCCAGGTTTTTTTCTCCGGCGGAGGGGGGGGGGGCACTTGATATTTTTTTGGGGGGGGGGGGGGGCACTACATTTTCAGGGGGGGAGGTCTGGCACTGGTAAAAGTATATTTTTTCAATATAAATTCCTTTTCGTGCGGCGGACGATAGACTTTCTTCTGGGGTGGGGGGGGGGGGGGGGGGGGGGGGGAGACGAAGAAATGCCTGGAAAAAACTATGGATGGGACTCAATAGCTATGGACAGCAACCCATCTAGGAGTGATACTCCGAAAATCATACAACTGCTGCCTTGTAGATTGTTCTTGGTTGGACAAAGGCTAAGGATGCAAATACTAAAAGAAAAGCAGGTTGAAATAAGAGAGACAGCAAGTTGACACGTAATACTTAATTGAGTCGGAGGAAATCCAGTCCAACATTATGATTAAAAATAAACCGGGAGTGATCTCCCCTAAACTTTCTCGAATATTCTTATATAAAACAACAGGGGATGGGAACTCGGTATATAGTTATGATTTTTAATCCATTTTAAATACTTAAACTTTTAAAAATAAAATAGAATCTCATAGAAAAAAGTATTGCACACCAAGCAAACGCCGAATAAAGATGTTCATAATGGTGCGCAATATTATTAGTACTTTATAAATTTAGATGCGATTTTGAGAAATCGGAAATAGCGTAAATTAGTACTTCCCTTCAACGGAAATTACTCAAAATTTGACAGAACAAAGAGAATTAGATTTTTTACTTATATGTGAAATTTCATTTATCTATCTGAAATAGTACTCAAGTTATAGGCTTTTGAAAAATTCAAAGTAGAAAAAGTACCACTTCCGGTTATCGGAAATAGCTCAAAAGTTGATACGGATCTACGATTTTGATAAAATACTTATATATGAAATTTCATCAACCTAGCTGTAACGGTACTCAAGTTATCGTGTTTACACACATACAGACACACACACACACACAGACATACGGACAAGATTGCAAAATTATGTTTTTCCGTATCAGTGAGGTGTAAAACGTCGAGATATGCAAAAATCTCGATTTTTTTTTTGCACGATTACAAGACTTTCTCTATACTTCGTATATACGAGAAAGTAAAAAAAAGAAGAATAAAACCACTAAAACTTACCGCGTTAAATATATTTGAAACATATTAGTGAAAAAGTAAATTGAAAAGATCTTAAATACATCATATTTTTCGAACTGTTTTTTTTTTAAATATTGAAATTATTAATATCAAATTATTTGATATTCATATTTTAAATTCAAAGTTACTGCAAAAATATTGAAATAAAATAAAAAACATCGTCTGTAGATATTTCGTCTATCTTGGTTACATGGTTGTTACGCAACTACCCCAATCCCAGATAGAAATTTTCATTGTGCTTTTTTTTCCCTCCATGTAAGCCTGAATTTTAAGCCTTGGTGTAAACGAATGGCAATTTTAAAAGGGAGATATGC